ATTCAGGAGATTTTTGCCTATGTTATCTTATTCTTTTGTTGCAATTGTGAATGCAGTTGTGTTCCTGATTTCTCTTTCTGCTAGTTCATCATTAGTGTATAGGAATGCAACAGATTTCTGTGTATTAATTTTGTGACATGCAATTTTACTGAATTCATATATTAGATCTAGTAGTTTTGTTGTGGATTCTTTAGGGTTTTTTATGTACAATATCTTGTCATCTGCAAACAGTGACAGTTTAACTCCTTCTTTACCAATCTGGATGCCTTTTATTTCTTTGTGTTGTCTGATTGCCATGTCTAGGACCTCCACTACAATGTTGAATAAAAGTGGGGAGAATGGGCATCCTTGTCTTGTTCCTGATCTTAAAGGAAAAGCTTTCAGCTTCTTGCTGTTAAGTATGATGTTGGCTTTGTGTTTTTCATATATGGCCTTTATTATGTTGAGGTATTTGCCCTCTATACCCATTTTGTTGAGAGTTTTTATCATGAATGGATGTTGGATTTTGTTGAATGCTTTTTTGGCATCTATGGAGATGATCGTGGTTTTTGTCCTTCTTTTTGCTGATGTGGTGGATGATGTTGATGGATTTTCGAATGTTGTACCAAATTCTACTTGGTCATAACAGATGATCTTTTTGATGTATTTCTGAATTTGGTTTGCAATGTTTTGTTGAGTATTTTTGCATCTTTCATCAGGGATATTGGTCTGTAATTTTCTTCTTTTTTGTGGTGTGTTTGCCTGGTTTTGGTATTAGAGTGTTGCTGACCTCGTAGAATGAGTTTGGGAGTATTCTCTTCTGCTTCTTGGAAAACTTTAAGGAAGATGGGTATTAGGTCTTCACTAAATGTTTGATAAAATTCAGCATTGAAACCATCTAGTCCAGGAGTTTTGTTCTTAGGTAGCTTTTTGATTACCAATTCAATTTCGTTGCTGGCAAGTAGTCTGTTCAGATTTTCTGTTTCTTCCTGTGTCAGCCTTGGAAGTTTGCATTTTTTGTAGAAAGATGTCTATTTCTTTTAGGTTATCCAATTTTTTAGCATATAATTTTTCATAGTATTCTCTCATAATTCTTTATATTTCTGTGATGTCTGCAGTGATTTTCTCTTTTTCATTTTGGATTCTGTTTGTGTAGACTCCCTTTTTTTCTTGATAATTCTGGCTAGAGGTTTATCTATTTTGTTTATTTACTCAAAAACCACCTTCTGCTTTCATTGATTCTTTCTACTGTTTTATTCTTCTTGATTTTATTTATTTCTGCTCTAATCCTTATTATGTCCCTCCTTCTACTGACTTGGGGCCTCATTTGTTCTTCGTTTTGTAGTTTCCTTAATTGTGAATTTATACTGTTCATTTGGGTTTGTTCTTCTTTCCTGAGGGTAGGCCTGTATTGCAATATACTTCCCTCTTAGCACGGCCTTCGCTTGATCCCACAGATATTGCGCTGTTGAATTATTGTTGTCATTTGTCTCCATATATTACTTGATCTCTGTTTTTATTTGGTCTTTGATCCATTGGTTATTTAGGAGCATGTTGTTAAGCCTCCATGTGTTTCTGCGTTTTTTCTTTTTCTTTGTGTAATTTATTTCTTGTTTCATACCTTTTTGGTCTGAGAAGCTGGTTGGTACAATTGCAGTCTTTTTGTATTTACTGAGGCTCTTTTTGTGGCCTAGTATATGATCTGTTCTCGACAATGTTCCATATGCACTTGAGAAGAATGTGTATACTGTTGCTTTTGAGTGATGTGTTCTGTAGATGTCTGCTAGGTCCATCTGTTCTAATGTGTTGTTCAGTGCCTCTGTCTCCTTACTTGTTTTCTGTGGTTGATCTGTCCTTCAGAGTGAGTGGAGTGTTGAAGACTCCTAAAATGAATGCATTGCAATCTATTTTCCCTTTCAGTTTTGTTAGTATTTGGTTAATATATGTGGGTGCTCCTGTGTTGGGTGCCATATTTATAATGGTAATATCCTCTTGTTGGACTGACCCCATTATCATTATGTAATTACTTCTTTGTCACTTGTGCCTTTCTTTGTTTTGAATGCTATTTTGTCTAATACAGGTAGTGCAACTCCTCTTTTTTTCTCCCTATTAGTTGCATGAAATATCTTTTTCCATCCCTTCTCTTTTAGTCTGTGTATGTCTTTAGGTTTGACATGAATCTCTTGTAGGCAGCATATAGACAATAGCCTAACTTAACTCACTTAGTATGCTATTATAAACACAATCTAAAGGTTCTTTTTTTTCCCTACTTTTTCTTCCTCCTCCATTCTTTATATGTTAGGTATCATATTCTGTACTGTACTCTTTGTCTATTCCTTGATTCACTTTGGGAGTAGTTGATTTAATTTTGCATCTGCTTAGTAATTAATTGTTCTACTTTCTTTACTGTGGTTTTATTTCCTCTGGTGACAGCTATTTCACCTTAGTAACACTTCTATCTATACCAGTCCCTCCAAAATACACGGTAGAGATGGTTTGTGGGAAGTAAATTCTCTCAGCTGTTGCTTATCTGCAAATTGTTTAATCCCTCCTTCAAATTTAAATGATAATCTTGGCAGATAAAGTATTCTTGGTTCAAGATTCTTCTGCTTCATTGCATTAAATATATCATGCTGCTCCCTTCTGGCCTGTAAGGCTTCTGTTAAGAAGTCTGATGGGTTTTCCTTTGTATATGATCTTATTTTTCTATCTGGCTGCTTTTTATAGTGTGTCCTTATCCTTGATCTTTGCCATTTTAATTATTATATGTCTTGGTATTGTCTTCCTTGGGTCCCTTGTGTTGGGAGATCTGTGCACCTCCATGGCCTGAGAGAGTATCTCCTTCACCAGATTGAGAAAGTTTTCAGCAATTACCTCCTCAGAGACACTTTCTATCCCTTTTTTTTCTCTTCTTCTCGTACTCCTATAATGGTAATAATGTTCTATTTGATTGTTCACAGAGTTCTCTCAATATTCTTTCATTCTTAGAGATTCTTTTTTCTCTCTATGCCTCAGCTTCTTTGTATTCCTCTTCTCTAATTTCTATTCCATTTACTGTCTCCTCTACTATATCTAATCTGCTTTTAAATCCCTGAATTTTATGTTTCATTTTTGATACTGTGTTTGGTAATGATTGAATCACCATCCAGAATTCTTCCCTGAGTTCTTGAATATTTTTCTGTACTTCCATGAGCATGTTTATGATTTTTATTTTGAACTCTCTTTCAGGAAAATTGGTGAGTTCAATTTCACTTGGCCCTTTTCTGGTGTTTGTGGGTTTTTGTTTTGAACCAGGTTCCTTTGACATTTCTTAGTTGTATATGGTGCCCTCTAGTGCCCAAAAGCTCCACTCTCTGGAGCTGCTTAGCCCCTGTGGCAATGTCTGGGCTTGCATGGAAGTGGCGCTGGTGCTTGCGGGGAGGAAAGAGCTGTTTCCTGCTTCCCAGCTGCTGTGCCTGTCTCCACTGCCAGACCAGTTATTTGAGCTTACAGATGTAAGCCTCTATGCTTTGCGTTTATGGCTACTGTAGGCAAGACTTCCCTCTGGCTGGCTTGATGCCAGGGAAGGGGCTGCCAGTTTACAAGCCAGGTGAGGGCTGGCTGGGAGGAAGGCACAGCAGGCTGCATATCACAGTGAGGGGCCTTGGACCTGCATATCTAGCCAGGGGAGTGGAGTGCCTGGAGCCCCTGAAAGTTCCCAATCTGCTGGGCAAAGTGCATCTGGATAATTTTGTCCACCTGTCCTTTCTCCTGAGCAGTGATTTCTGTGCAATCCTTGCCCATTTAGCAACCCTCTCACTGTTAGGAAGTCTCTTGGACTGCCCACCTTTCTTTTGTCCCAGAGCAGCCAGATGTGGGTCCATTTTCCACAAGTGGCTGGAATCTCTCTCCAGGTATGTCTGCCTCCCCTAGCTTTCTATCCCCAGTAATCTCCAGAGCACCAAGCAATGTAGGTTCGTGCTGCCAGAGCAGATCTCCAGGACTGGGTGTTCAGCAGTCCTAGGCCTCCAGTTCTTCCTCCCACCAGTGAGCTGGGGTGGGGAAGGACTTGGGTTCTGCAGGATCATGGCTTTGGTACATTACCCTGTTCCGTGAGGTCTACTCTTTTCTCCAGGTCTATACAGTCTGGCACAGCCTTCTTTCTTGTTGCTCTTTCAGAATTAGTTATAGATTAAACATATTTTCGTATTATATGTTGTTTTGGGAGGAGACCTCTGTCTCATGTCTCATGCCACCATCTTTAATACTTTCCCCCTCAACAAAGATTTATTGAATAAATGAATCTACCATTTTTCTGAACAGTCATCTGACATTTTGGCATGTTAAGTATCCTTTTTCTCATGTTAAATTCCCATGACTTCTGTGTAGTACTTGATGCTATGTGTCTTTCTGTCGTCCTTCTCTTCTGATTTCTACATTTCTGTACAAGCAACCTCCAACTATGTCAGTATCTCACACCATGTCCTAAAAATTTTCAGATCCTTTTAATTTTTACTTTGTATATTGCCTCTAAAATCCATGCCTTCTTCTCCATCTCTTTCTCTACTTACTTCAAACATTTATTTCTTACTACTTGATTGTGGTAACATCCCTGCTTCTCATTTTGTCTTACTCAGTACATCTCCATATTATCATTGGACTGAACTCTTTAAATTGTATGCCTTACTTATTTATTTTTATCTCTTGCCAGCACCTAGCACTTTTTCCCCTCCAATAACATACACTCCATGAATGTTGAATAAATAGTCCTCTGTTTCTGGGAGGTAGAGCTACTGGGCATGTGATTATTTTAATGGCTGTAATTCTTTGAAAATAATTTGTGCTTAAATAATCTCCCTTATGTTCTAGGAAAGTTGTGGCAAGTCTTTGTTATGTTTTGATGATTGTGGACTGTTTAAGTGACTGTCATCACAAAATGTTCTATTGGAGCATTTCACAGTAAAGTTTTGTTTTTGGTCTAAAAGCAGTAAAGCAGTATCTTTTCTTACCTATTAAAATAATTCTCTTCTCTTTTAAGCCAGAGTTCCCAGTGAATATTGAGTTGCTGAGGAATTTGGTTAAAGACAAACTGCCATTCCCATTCCATGGATCCCTTGGGTGCCCCTTCTCAGTTTGTAAATGTGGATATACTACCAAGCTGGGGTGAACTTCATGAAGATGAATTGAATGCTTCTGATACTGGAGCTGAAACATTTCAGGAAGACACTATTAGATCACCTTTTCTTTATAATAAGGACATCAATGCAAAAGTGATTCTTTGGTAATTCTTTGATTAAATTTTATCATAATATGTTAATGCTTTCTCATAACTTCCAAATTATTTTTCTCATAATTTCTTTTAAACTCTTCTTTTTTGTATAAGCCCTAGCATTGTTGAAATGTTTCATCTCACACACACACACACACACACACACAGATTTTTTAGGTATAATTATGTATAAAAAAACATATTTAAAGTATACAATTTGGTCAATTTTGACATATGTATGCACCCATGAACCCATCACCAAAGTCAAGATAGTGAATATACTTATCACCCCCAAAAGTTTCTCTGTGTCCCTTTGTAATCCCTCCCCTACCAATCCCCTCCCTGCCTCCACATCCCCACGCAACCATTGATCTTTTATGCCACTATGGATTTAGTTTACGTTTTCAAGAGTTTGATGTAAATGGAAAGTATACTTTTTTTTTAGTCTGGTCTCTTTCAGTCAGCGTAATTATTTGAAATTTCATCTATGTTGCATGACTTAGTACATTTTTTTGTAAAGCTTTAATGAGATGTAATTCAGATACTATACAATTCACCAATTTAAGTTGTACAGGTCAGTGTTTTTAGTATATCATAAAGTTGTGTAACCATCACCACAGTCAATTTTACAACATTTTCACCAACCCCAAAGTCCTCTACCCCTTAGCAGTCACTCCCCAATTCCTTCTTCCAGTCTCTGAGCTCTAGCCAATTCTAATCTATTTCCTCTCTATATGGATTTGCCTATTCTGGACATTTCATGTAAATGGAATCAGTTGTGACTTAGCATAATGTTCTTAGGGTTTGTCCATGTAATGGGTGCTTCATTCCTTTTAATGGCCAAATAATATTCCATGTATGGATATACCACATTTAGTTTATCAGTTCATTAGTTGATGGACATTTGAATTATTTTTACTTTTTTGGGTATTACGAGTAATGATGCTTTGTCTAAACTCTTTAAACCAACTATTTTCAGCTCTATAAACTGCTCTATAACTGCTCTATAAACATGCTATTTGAATGAAAGAGAAATGTAAAAGAAACACAGGAGTGACATGATGTTGTTGTGAGTTTCAGGTTGTAGCAGTTGCATTAAAGAGCTATCTGAGATGCCAGATAGTCTTTCTGAGTCAGGAACTCCCTTATCTCCCTCCTCTTCCCTACATTTGCTCTTTATTATTTCCTCAGGAAAGGAGATGTGGCATTATTGAACTGTACAGCCATTGTGAATACCAGCAATGAAAGTCTTACAGACAAGAATCCTGTGTCAGAAAGTATCTTCATGCTCGCAGGGCCTGATTTGAAGGAGGATCTCCAGAAACTTAAAGGTGAGTGAATTTTCTCAGACATTTTATTGCTTAGGAAACATTTATTTTGGTATTTCCATTTAAGTATGAAAACTAAGTAGCTATAGTTGTTTTGTTGATGTTATTAAACTAAATAAAAACAGTTTTTGAGAACCCTGCCATGTGTCAGAAGCTGAGTGCTGAGAACTTATTCTGAGTAAAACTCTCAGTCATGTTCCTGAATTTTAAAATGACAATCTTTGTAGCCAGTTAGATCTTAGGTAGCATTTTCTTGGCTGTTTATTTTCTTGCACTTATAAGGCTTTAAAACAGCTTTCCTTTATCTAAACTGAAAATTTTTATCATGGTATGATCTGGATAGAGAATTTTTTGTATATGTCCTGGACATAGACTGTTACACTTTTGAAGTGAAATTGACTTACTGATAAAACTAAAGTGTATCACAAGAACAAATGTATTCTAGATTAATTTTGTACTTACTCTTGCTTTTTTGATTTTTAACCAAACACTCTTCTGGGAATATTTCATTAGAAGTGGGAACAGGAAGAGTCCTCTTGGTTCAGAATCTTTTTTACCTTATTTGTACTCATTTTCTTAAAATACTGACCTAGCAAACCTTTGTTATTGTTATTTGAGCCCAAATGGAATATTGTAAAACTCTATCATCCCATTTTATAAATTTATGAAATATAGTAATGTTTCTTAAAATGTAAACAACAAACCCCATGTGTGTAAATCTTGATTTCTTTGGCTTTTTATCATTTAACACTTGACAACTGGTTTCTAACTTAACAAAGATATTAGAATTTGAACAGGAATATTTATAGTGCTGGTTCCATGACAGAATGGATAGAATAAGAAGAATTGCATTATCTGATCAAGAAACTGAATTTTGTGAGGGAGAAGGGGGGAAAAGCCTGTAAACTGAAAGCGTGATACCATGAAGAACACATAGAAATTAGAAAATGTGGTAGAGATAATACTGTGAACGTTTTTGATAAAAGTAATAGAGAAGCTGGTCCAGAAAAATTCCTTATGGCGTGTGTGTGTGTGTGTGTGTGTGTGTGTGTGTGTGTGTGTGTATCTTCACCATATGCCTCAGAGCTGGACTTACATATAAAAAAAGGAAAATAATTAAATTTAATAATGTAAATACACAAATAAAACTCATTATTTATAGGAAATCTGTAATGATTCCACCAAAAAACTTTAGAACTAAAAAGTGAATCCAATAAAGTTGCAATATAAAAAATCAGCATACAAAAATCAGTTGTATTTCCATACACTAACAGTGAAGTACCTGAAAATGAAATTATGAAAACAATCCCATTTACAATAGAAACAAAAAGAAGAATAAAATAGGAATAAATTTAGCCAAGGAGGTGAAAGATATACCACTGAAAACTATAAAACATTGGTGAAAGATATTGAAGAAGACATAAATAAATGGAAAGATACTCTGTATGCAGTAATTGAAAGAATTGATATTTTTGAAATACTCATACTGCCCAAATCTTATCTATAGATTCAGTATAATCCCTATCAAAATTCCAGTGGCATTTGTTACAGAAATAGGAAAAACAATTCTAAAATTTGTATGGAACCACAAAAGACCCAAATAGCCAAAGCAGTCTTAAGAAAGAAGGGCAAAGCTGGAGGCACCACACGTCGTGATTTCAGACTATATCCTACAAAGCTCTTGTAATCAAAACAGAACAATACTGGCATAAAAACAGGCACATAGAACAAGGAAACAGAGTCAGAACTGCAGAAATAACCCCCTTCATTTCAGGTAATATTTGACAAGGATGCTAAGAATACTCGGTAGGGAAATGGTAGTTTTTTCTTTCAGTGTGGTGGGAAAACTGGATAACCATATGCAGAAAAATGCAATTGGACCCCAGTCTTTTTCATTTTTATTTATTTTTGGTGGTGGTGGAGGTGGTGGGGTGGGATAGCTGGGGGACCCCTGTCTTATACCACTCACAGAAATGAACAAAATGGATTAAAACTTAAATCTAAGACCTGAAACCATAAAACTCCTTGAAGAAAACATAGGGGAAAGCTCCTTAACATTGTTCTTGGCAATAATTTCTTGGACATGACAGGAAAAACCCAAGTTACAAAAGCAAAATAAATAGGTAGAACTATATCAAACTAAAAAGCTTTCTACGTGGCAAAAGAAACAACAAAATGAAACTACGGAATGGGAGAAAGTAATGTGCAAATTTAATATACTTGAAAATATATCAGTTGAGGCATTGATATACAAATTGTATAAGGGTCTCATACAACTTAATATCAAAAAAGACTAGTAACCCAGTTTAAAAATGGGCAAAGGACCTAAATAGACATTTTTCCAAATAAGACATACAGATGGCCAACAGGTACATAAAAAGATGCTCAACAGTAGCCTTCAGACAAAGGCAAATCCAAACCATGGTGAAATACCACCATACCTGTTAGAATGGCTGTTAACAAAAAGACAAGAGATCACAAATACAAGAATGTGGAGAAAAGGGAACCCTTGTGCACTGTTGGTAGGACTGTAAGTTGGTATAGCCACTAGGAAAAACAGTATGGAGATTCTTTAAAAAATTAAAAATAGAACTACTGTATGATCCAAAAATTTTATTTCTGGGTATACAGTGGAAGAAAATGAAATTACTCTCTCATAGAGATAATCTGTACCTCAGTGTTTGTTGAAGCATTTTTTACAGTAGCTAAGACGTGGGAACAACCTAAGCATCCATTTGTGGTGTTACATATCAGAGTTTCTTCATATATACACACACGTGTGTAATACATACATTATTACATACACATTATGTATTATTACATACACATTATACATACATACACACAATAGAATATTATTCAGCCATGAAAAAGAAGGAAATCCTGCTGTTTGTGATAAAATGCATGGACCTTGGTGGTATTATGCTGTCTGAAATAAAACAGAAAGGCAAATATATCTCACTTATACATGGAACCTAAAAAAAAGCTGAAGTCATAGAGACAGAGAGTAGAATGATGGTTGCAGGGAGAATAGAGGAAATGAAGAGATATTGGTCAAAGGCAACAGACTTCCATTTATAACATAAGTTCTGAGGGTGTAATGTACAGCATGGTGATTTAATTAATATATACTCAACTATATAAATATATTCAATTTATATTCAATTATGTGTTTATATTCAATTACATACATATATAAGGTCTACTTTTCTTGGTAAGAAAAATGTTCTCACTATAAAAAAAGGTAGTTATTTGAAGTGATTGATGTGTTAACTGACCTTTTCATGGTAATCATTTTGCAGTACATACATACATCAAATCATCACCTTAAACTTACACAATATTATATGTCAGTTATGCCCCAGTAAAGCTGGGGGTGGGTGGGGGAAATACAGCATCAAAGTCAGGAGACACTTCTTTATTCTGTCCTGGTAGGATACCATGGTGAACAGTGTTCACCTAATTTTTTTGTTATTACTACTTTTTAAGAATGATAAACATTCACCTGAAAGAAAATGATTAGCATGATTCTGGAAACTGTATTATTTAAAGGAATCGTTTACTATGGATAGCACAGAGAGAAGAGGAGAGTTAAGGGAAACATGACTGTTTTTCTCAAATACTTGGAAAAGGGTCATATTGAAGAGGGCAGGAGATAATTTTGTTATAGAACCCCTGTTAGGAAGGTACATTAAACTTAAGTTCATTAGAGAAAATTTTCCAAGAAATAGAGCTTCCTAAAAATGGAATAGGCAGATTTGGCTTATTGTACCCAAATTTCCTAAACAAATTCACCTTTTGAACTTAGAAGTTTTGTGAAACCAAAGTTGTGTAGGGTTCATTGGTGTTTTTGTTTGGATAAAGTGTGATATGACAGATTAACAAGTGATGTTCAGCTTTAAATTAGAGTCAGGATAGTATCAGATAATTCACCTATCAACTCGTTTCTAGGCAAGAATACTTGCAATTAAGTACTTAACTATGAACACTTAAGTATCTTAAGTAGTAAGCTTAAGTGCCTCCATGTACAAAGTGAAGAGAAAAATATTTTCTCCTGCAGTCAGGATCCCTGTACAGTTCTGCTGCCTAAATGTTTGTGTTTCAGTATTTGAGTGTGTGGGTTTGGTAGGATGGAAGTATGTACACTACATTTTTTGGTTGCTCTGTCCTTCTACAAATAGCACTCTTTTTGCTGTAAGTATTAAAGCAGCTTTTGTGTTTCCTACTGTGAATGTAAAGATTTGGAGAGAAGTAAGTAAAGTTGAAAAGTGCTAACTAATCCTTAACACTCAGGTACTCAGGTTATCATTGCAACAGTGCTCTTAGCAAAGGATGTACAGACTTAGGGCTGGAGTGAACTGATTCAGTGAATTTGTATTCATTTTGTAAGGATTAAAAATACTTTCAGGATTGTGTTTTGAATGTTAATTAGTGATATCAGGACTTGAACTTTGAGTTAGGAGAAATCTGAGCTGGAAAGAATGAGTGAAAGATTGGAAAGCAATGCAGCAGTACTTAACCTAACTTTAGTCTTGAGAGTCTGAGTTTTTGTTAGCAGCTATTAAAGGAAAGGCATGATTTCAAAAACCAGAATATCCGAACACTTAAAATTCTGTTCTGTTTCTAAACACTGTCCTGAGAGATCTTTAGGACTGATTCAGCAGGCTGACCACCCAAATACATGTTTGCTTGCTTGCTTTTTTTTTTTCCAAATCAAAGTAAAATGTTTATATCATTTATTTTAAGTAATTATTTTCTAGTTATAAAGCAGTAAATGTAAATTGTAGAAAATTGTGTGCACACAACTAAAAATAAGTGAAAACAAATTTTCTACCCCACAAAGATCACCACTATTATCATTGTAGTATACATATACTTATATCATTCTGAATCTTTCTGTATGTGGATGTGGGTACATGCATATACTCTTAAATATTTTGTTACCAAAATAAAATATATATATGCTGTCCTCAGAATAAGATACTTGTGTATGTACTCTTCTGTACTCTGCTTTCCTCAGCTTTTGATTTCAGAAATTACCTCATGTATTTAAACTTTCCAGTTGGCCCCAAAATACGCTGTGCAGCTAGTTTATCCAAACCAGCATCCATTCCAGGACCACACATAACATCGAATTATTACATCCCTTAATTTTTTTTAATATAGCACAGTCCCCTTTTTATGACACTGACTTGTTGAGTGAACCAGGCCAAGATGTTTTCCAAGATGTCCCACCTGGATTTACTTGACTCACTTGAAGTACCATTTAGTTTGTTGCTTTATCTCTTCCTATAAACTGAAAGTTACATCTAATATAATGAAGTTTGACTAAAACATTTCATGGTGATGTACTGTGTGCTTAATGTACTGTAACAGGAGCTATATAAAAACTAATTGACCATTAGCACACCATTACTGATACTAAAATGGCTCTCTGGATTAGAGTGGTGACAGTTTGATCCTTCTATTTGTACAGGTAAATTTATGATTCACCCTTTGAGACTGAAAACTAATCAATATAGGGTTATTTAGGCTCTGGAAATGTCCATTTCACTGTCACACCTTCACATAATAGTTTTAGCAAGAATTATAGTCCTTGTCTGAATCAATAATTTCATTAAGTTTACAAAGTTATGTGGTTTTATAAATTTGTTATTATATCGACATTTACTATCTAGCATTCCTCTGTAAAGTAGAGCATTTCTTCAGTAACTGACATTATTCATTACTCTGAAATAAAGTTTCTGTTAGAGGGGCAGCATAAATGCTCAATTCTTCTAATTACCACTTCTCAAAATAAAACAAAATTAACTTAATGGCTGACTCAAATAGAACCAAATGAACTTTTTCTTTTCTCTGTTTTGAGTAGCATTTTGTGCTTACAGCTCTGTTTGATCAATGTATATAGTTTTAAAAGTCAAGGAATTTTATGTCAAAATGTATTAAGGAACAGTAACCATCTGCCTTAACCTTTCCTTCTTTGATTCCTGTTCTCCAGGGGCAAGTACTCAAAAACCTTTAAATTCCTCATTTACCTTCTATTTCTAAATAATATGCTGAAACTACTGTATATTTTTTCATTCTTTCCATTACCTGTTGACTCTTACTGTGGAAATTAAGATCAAACTTTTTGCATTCACTCTCCTCCTTCTTATACACATACGACACTCACACATTCTCCTGTCTTCACCACCCCTGAATCGGTCTGTCACATTCTTATTAGATCGGTATTCATCGTCAGCATTTCTATAACACTGTATAATCGTTGCTCATAGCTGATTAGAAAACAAGTTAACATTCTTTGTGTACAGCTATTTTTCCTTTAAGTTATTAATTGATTTTATTAATTTATTTTATTTTCTAGGTACCTATCATTGATTCAGTCCCAGATTTTTAGATGTAACTGTAAACTTCCTCTCAGTAAAGTCAAACATACCTGTTTATCTTCCAGTTCCATTTTTTCTTAATAAGGTCGCTTTTAGAAACCCCCCATCCCGCTTTCCTCTCCAGACTTTTATTAATGCTTGCTGCACAGTTACCATCCTGGGAAATCTTTTCTATTTAATGAAGTGGATACCCTGATTTCCTAGACCTCATGAGGTCTTTTTTTTTTCTTTGATGTATTCCTTCATTTTTGTGAGGAAATCTACCAGATTTCTGAGAAGGATGCAAGGGAACAAAATTATTGAGATCTATCTTCTCCCTTTACACTTAAGTGGTACTTTGGTTGGAAACAGAATTCTAGGGTACAAATAATTTTCCAAATTTTTGAAGGCATTACTTCACTGTTTTCTATTTTCATTATTGCTCTTAGGAAATCTAACGCTGTTCTCACCTCTGGTGCTTTGTATGTCACTGGTTTCTGCTCTGGGAACCTTGTGATTCCATCTTTATTTCTTATGTTCTCTAATTTCTCAGTGATATGCCTTGATGTAGTTTGGATATTCCATAAGCTCTTTGAGTCTAGAAACTTGTATCTTTCAGTTCCAGAAAATTTCTTGTGTTATGTCTTTAATAATTTCCTTCCCTCTGTATTCAGTTCTGTCTTTGAAGAAATCCTATTAGATATTGAACCTCCTTGTTTAATCCTTAAATTTTCATAGCTATTCTCTCTTACTTTTTATCTTTTTATTTTCTAGATCTCTTCAACAGTAACATGACTCATCTATTGAACTTTTTATTTCTGCTGTCATAGTTTGCACTTGGCTGTCAGATACATAAGTGCTTTTCCTGTTTCTGAATTTTCCTTTTCTATGACATTCTTTTGTTTCAGAGCTACTATATCTTCTCTTACCTTTTGGAGAGTAGTAATTACAGTGTTGAGAGTACTTTGTTTTTTAAGTTGCCTTCCCAGCATTGTCTATTTCTTAAGCATTTGTTCCCCCACCCCACGCCTTTTGCTAGAGGCTTTCTTTACTTCCTGGTGATCCTTGAGTGTCAGCTGTATTTATGAGGAAGGAACTGAGAAGCTTTATGTGCATGGGCAAGGGTTGTTGCTTGGTGGATTTTGACATAGATGATGAGCAGAAACCTGTCTTTTTGGGAATCATTCCTCAGTTATCAGAATCTGTAGATCCTTTGGTTGGGCCTCTTAGTTTCCTTGAAGGGAATCTTCTAGTGGTAGAAATGCATATGTCTTTGTTTTGTAAGTCAGGAGCAGGAGACTAAGCTATCACTGTTGAGTTTAACACTTTAACTAAATCCCCTCTTTTCAGCTGTGTCTGGGCTTCTGGAGTCCAGAAACTCTCTAGTTCGGCATCTCCAGAGCATAAACCTTCCTAATGATGTGGTAATAAAGGGATCATCACCTTGCTGTGCTGGCTGAGGGCAGGATTATTGCAGATTTCCCTGATTTTTTGCAAACTTAACTCAGCCTGTTTCTCTTTTTAACCCCACCTTCCATCATAGCCTTTAGATGAACTTAGCGCCTCCAATTTTTTAGCCTTTCTGATATTCTGCAAGAATACTAGCTAATGCATGTATGTACTTTGCTTATATTAACTCATTTAATCCTGTAACATAGGAAATGGAGGCATAGAGAGGCCAGGTACCTGCCCAGAGTATCACAGAAGGAAGGTGGTATACTCAGGGTTTGAATCAAAGCAATCTGTCTGGAATCCAAACTGCCTTTCAGTACAAACCAGCTTACTTCATACTGATTACTGCATTTCTGCCAGCGTTTAGATTTCTCTGCTTTGGTGAATCAGTTACTTCTAGTTCATAGATTCTACCTTCCAAAAATTTGATATTACTTATCTGCTTCATGTTGTTTCCCATTCTCTTATTTCTCTGTTTTTAGACCTACTATACTGCTTCACTGTCATTTTGGGAATGAGATAAATGTTTGTGTTAAATCCATATTTTTAACTGACATTTCCCTAAGTTATTAATCCTTCCTCTATTTTACACATCATTTTGTTGTTGTTTTTAACGTCTCCATGATTGATGTCTGCTCCGTTGTCCCCAGGTTGCCGGACAGGTGAAGCAAAATTGACAAAAGGCTTTAACCTAGCTGCCCGGTTCATCATTCACACAGTGGGACCTAAATACAAGAGCCGCTATCGCACAGCAGCTGAGAGTTCCCTGTACAGCTGTTACAGAAATGTGCTTCAGCTGGCAAAGTACGGCTTACTCGTTTCCTGGACACAGCATGCCATATGTTGTTTACACACAAGGCCCAGTTTTAAAATGAAACCTAGATGTTAAAGTCAAATTTTGAAGTATTTCAATAAATTAGGAGGGCCCCAAAGATAAAATTGTCTTCTCAAAATTAATAGAATAAAAGGGATGGATGTAGGTGACTTGAGAATTTAATCTGTTCCCATTTTACCCAGTCTTTACTTGGAATATATTTTCCCCAAATGGTACAAATAAATTGCATTTAATATAATTATTAAATAGTGCAGTTGGGCCGATTTCTATAGTAGATTTGTTGAAGGCATAGAGGAGAAGTTGAACTGCATTTTTAAATTAGTTGTGTGTGTAGTAGGTGTGGTGAACATTGGTAGTGTGACCACTGTTTTCTGTTTGATTACAGAGAGCAGCCAGTGTCTTCTGTTGGATTCTGTGTCATCAATTCTGCAAAAAGAGGTTATCCTTTAGAGGATGCAACACACATAGCACTTCGTAAGTGACCTTGAAGGAGCCACATGTAAATTGATATAGCACTTCCTAAGTAGGATGGGGGTGTTGTACATAAATTGAGTCTTTAATTTTTTTTTTTCACTAGTTAAATAGTTACAGCCAAGGGGAGAGTTGATTAACTGATCATGGCAGCCTGGAGGGAACTTTGTATTGATAAAGTTGCTGAGCTTTCAGTTTCAGTTTACTTTCTCAGGTTGATACTTTTATCTATTTGAATAGAGGCTTAAAGATTTACTCATTAAATTTGAAAATGATACCAAGCCAAGTAGTATGGCCAGTGCCCTGGGTATTTAAATCAAAATTCAGAATATCTGGTGAGACACTGACAAACTGCAGAGTCAACTGTTTGAAACATCAGTGGTATTTCTCCTAAAGAAGAGCATTTGTTTAGTGTATTTGGTGGTGGTCTTCAAATATCTGAAGGAGAGAGTACTTGAGAACTGACTCTATGCTGCATTTTTAGAGCAATGGTTCTGTACTTCTTTGGGAGTCATCATAAAACTACACTGAGCATTTAATGAAAGAAAGGGGAATATCATGCATAGGGAATTTGCATGCTATTTCAGGAAGTTCACAGATCCTTATAAGGATTGTGGATAAGGCCTCCAACTGTGGAAGGTTGGTCTAAGGCTAAATGACAAAGAAGATTTGGTCCCATCTGAGAAAGGACTATCTGTAATAAAAATGCATTTTAAGTGAACTTCTTGTCACCAGTAATGGTCATGCAGAAGCTAAATGACCATCTGTTGCAGATATTCCTGTTTGGGAGGAGAATCTATACCAGGTGATCTTTAAGACCTCTTTCTACTTCTAAAATTTAAAGATGAGGTGCTGAAAGTCTTATATCCACCAAAAAAAATCACAAGATATTTGAATGTTTAAAATTATTATTATATAGCCTAGAATTTAGGATGAGAGCATGTTCAGTCTTAGTCTTATTTTGCTACTTTTAAAATTAAGATCCTTACTGCTCAGGGTTTTTATAGTAAGCATATAGTTTCAGTTTGTATTTATGTGTATTAAAATTGAGCTTCTTGAGGAGCAGAGATCTTTTCACCTTTGTATTTCCAATGCTTCCATATGTCAAGAATGCTTTATATATGGTGGTTGCTCAAGAAATATGTATTTTTAAAAGGATAAAGAAATTCCATTTTATTTCCTCAATAACACTGTGTTTTAGGTAGTATGGCATCCATTTTATAAATAAAGAGGTTCACAAAATTTTCATGTTGTCAGTATTATGCAAACTTGGAACATATATCCAGGTCTTTTGATTCCTAAATCTAGGAACCTGTCTGTTATATCAAATAATTCATTATGTTTGAGTTAAAACTGCATTAATGGGAAATGCTATGTCACAGCTAGTCCTCATGTATTCTCAGTGGTGCCTTACCAAGGCAAAGGTCCTGCCTTTATAAAGTTCTTCCTGGCAAGGCTTTTACAGACCTCAGCATTCTCTGATTCCACCTAGCCCCATCATTTTTCAACTTGAGTTAAGCCTTTTTTTGTGTCTCTATTTCTTATTAATTATGTGTATTAGGATTTAAAGAGGCAGCATCATTTTGTTAAAAAGGCCCTGAAAAGGGAGTCAAAAAGACTGGTTTTTGGTCCCAATTCTATCAATCTAACTTTAGCTCCATAGCCCAAGATCAATCGCTTAATACAGTACCATAGAGCATTCAACTTAGAGCAGTAATTGTAGTAACAGCAGGTGAAGATCAACAATGGCTATAAGAGACTTTGATGAAGCAATGTATAGGAATTTAATTAGCCAAAGGAAATTTAAAGCTTTAAGATGGAAGGTTAACTTTTATCTTATGCCTGTTTGCCTTGTTCCACCTCATATCTAGCAGCAGAATTAGAGCATCTCATTATAAAAGTATGCACATATACAGAAAATTGTACCTTTTGCTTGCATACTCTGAGCATTTGGGAAGTAAGTGTCGTGCACATTTTTATAGTATATATAGGCTGAGAAAAAAACCTAATGATGTAACTTGAAGTCCTTAGTACCAAAAGCTTTGTTATTAGAATATTATCAACATTTACTTCATTTGAAATCTAAGTAGTATCTTCTTGGATGTATCAAGACTATTTTTTTTACCTTAGTTCATGTGTAGTGCAGTTTTTCTCCAGAAGAAAGAAGCATCTGCACTGAAATAAATTTATCAGGTTATTTATTCATTTAACAAAACTTCGAGTGACTACTTTGTGCTAGGCTCTGTGCTGTATAGAAGATGACACAGTGGTGAGACAGCAGTTTTTGTTCTTGTTGTGTTTCCAGGTTGGGAATTTTATGGTGCCAGATGTCATTCTCATGAGTTAAGGGGTTTTCACTAAAAGTTAGGCACATGACAACCCAGTTGGCTGCAGAGAATAGTGCACAGAGAAACTCTGAACTGGCAGGCAGTATTAAAACCTTACAGCCATGACATCTTTTTTTTTCCCTCCTTTCCACAGACTTTTCTGAATGAACCCTTCTGCAGGAATTCAGTTTGGTTACTATTTGGCATTATATTTTGTCTTCCAAAGGAAATCCCACAATTATATGCTAGGAAACTATTATGTGTGAATATTAAAACTCGGTATCAAAGTAAATAAGATAGAAGAAAATCTCTTTTTGAAAGTTCATTTAAAAAAATATTCAAGCAAAATAGAGGGAGAAATGAAAAATAAATCTGTCACCTAACAGAGGGAGAATTATGAATAGGTAGTCCTTCAACAAATTGTTCTGCTCTGCTGGGTTCTGATAATACAGGATTTGAACAAGGCAGGCAATAGGCAGATAAAGAGCCAAAAAATATTAATTCCGTTACTACTTTTGACTGATTGCTTGCCATGTTCTAAGGTGTGCTAGGCTTGTACACATTAATGTAAAATATAGTTGGCATTCAAAAAGTTCACAGTCTAACTATAAAATGCTGTGAAAAGTTCACAAATTGAGGGTATTCAGAAGATTATAGGAGGAGCACAAAGAAAGGTGGAGTTCTACACGAAGGAGATGGCTTTTGACTGGGTCTTGAAAAAAAAGAAGGTTATGGTGGATGAATGATTTTCTAGTCAAAGGTAACCTCTGCTTGTATGGTAACCATACAAGCAGAGGTGGGATAGCATAAAAGTAAATGATGTCTTCTGAGTACAGCAAAGAAGCTGATTTGGCTAAAGCATAAGGGCTTTGGATCTCAACTTAGAAGCAGTGAAGAGCCATCAAAAACATTAGGGAGGAGGGTAACATAGGCAACATGAATATGTAGGCTTGGAAGTGAGAGAAACAAGAACACAGTTAAGAGCTTATTGCCAAAGACTTTGTAAGCACTGAGAGCATGAGAGCAGCTAAAAGAGAAGGAATAGGTGTTAGAAATATCAGCAATAGCACCGATGGACAGTGACTGCATTGGGGTATGGGTGGGGACTTGATAATATGGGTAGATGTAGTAACCACATTGTTTTTTCATGTGAAACCTTCATAAGAGTGTATATCAATCATACCTTAATAAAAAGTTTAAAAAAAAGAAATATCAGCAATAGAATTTAAAAGACAAGATAGTCTATTAAAAATGCAGGATGAAGGAAGAGATGAAGTGTCAATAAAAGACAGAATTCTAGCTTGAGAGAGTGGTTGAATTTTGCTATGCAACTAAAATAAGAAATTCAAGTAAAGGAACAGGTTTTAGGGTGAAGATGTAGGTCAGGTTTGGACCTGGTGGGGTCACATTTGGACATGTTGAGTTTGAAATCTCTGGGTCATCTGGGCAGATATGCCCAGTAGGTAGTAGGGAATTCAGCAATATTTGGGAGCCATCAGCATTTGTAATCGTACCTAATCAGCAAAAATATATAAAATACATATACATAAGAAAATAAAAATGTGAACAGAACCCTGGAGGTCATTTTTAAAAGATGAGGCATGGTTGTTTAGAAATAAAGCTGGAGAAAACTCTAGTTAAAGTTAAGGACTGAGAAAAGGCCATTAGGTCTCATTATTAGGAAGTTGATAGAGAATCATAAAGATAACATAGAAATTAAGAAAAAAATAATTTAGCTTTAGTTTGATAGGATTTTTACAGGAATGAAGGGCTGAGTAGGACATCTAATACTGTAATTGAATGAATGGAAAGACGCTTGTGCTAGATCATCCTGGTCAAAGAGAGAGGCCCCAGGGAATAAAAAATAACTGGATGAGGGAGAATTGTCTGGAGTCAGAATGTTCTGTGGTCAGACAATGTTCTAGACGTTGGCTATAAAGCAGTGAATAAAATAAAGCTCTTGCTGTTGTGAAGCTTTCATTCTAGTGGATGGGGTGGGAGGTCAGGGAGGATATGCAGTATACAAGAAGCTCCACAAAGTGTCTGTAATAGTTGAGCTAGAAGAAAGCAAATCAGGTAAGGGTTTTTAAATAGAGTAGTGCGGGCCGGTGTCACTGGTAAAGAGCCATTGAGCAGAGACCTGAATGGAATAAGGAGTGATCCATTACAAAAGTCAAACTTTGGTGATTAGTTTTTTATTTATTGAATAATCTTTCTATTCCTTTCCTTAGGCACTGTAAGGAGATTCCTAGAGGTTCATGGGGAGACCATTGAAAAAGTAGTATTTGCTGTCTCTGACCTTGAAGAGGTATTTTGCTAATTATGTTGCATTCTTAAATTTGATTTTACTTGTGTTTGCCTTTGTCTCATCATTACCTATTCACTGAATTGCCAGCAGCAATCCTAATTGTGTGTATATACTGGCAGTGGACCATATCATCATTTGTTGAAAAAAGACGCCATATTAAAGACTAAAAACAAGTGAAGAAGGAGCATTTTGCTCAAATTTTCCACTAGTAAGCTCTTGTCACTTAGTGAAGCCTTACAAGGTGGAGTGCCTGGGCAGTACAACTGGAAAAGTGCTACTATGCTGGGGAAACTTTGGTCTACCTGGTGAGGACACAGGTGACTGGCTGGCCCAGTGGCTGGCACTAAGTAGGGTTATGTTTTGTTGTATATAGCTGGTTTAGTATGTTTCATTTTATTTTGAGCCATTTTAGAGAATTAGTTATTTTTTTATTTTTGATCTTACATATCTTTATAGTGTGCTTTCTCCAGTTCAGCTTGTATTATTTCCTAGTTTTGCGTCCTTGGGCAAGTTACTTAACCTGTCTGTGCTTTGATAAAATAGGAACACTAATAGTACTTATGTCACAGGAGTGTGGTAATGAGTGAGTTAATACATGTGAAATATCCTAAGTATACATAGTTGTATATATGATACATAATTTTGAATTTGCTCAAATAAGACACATTTACTTTATTTGATGTTTCTTCTTTCACCAGGTTTACCTATTCATTCAGTCTTTCAGGGACCTTATATTGAATATGTAGCATATTTCAGGTTTACAATACTAGGTTCTGGAGAAACACCAGTGAACAAGTCATGGTTGTTGTCCTCAGAGAACCCATTGCCTATTGGTGGGTATAGAAAATTCAGATAAGTTTTGATAATTGTGTATTAATGGAGGTATGAGGAGGATAGGAACATAGAACTGCCATCTGGCATAGCATTAGAGAGTATTTCCTAGAGGAGGTGATGCATAAGTTGAAATCATTGTTAAAGATAAATAAGATTTTCCAAGGGTGGGGGAAATGACTGTAGTCATACAAGCATAGGCAAAGGCATGTAAGTAAGAAATAGCATTAAGGGCATGGTTGCATAAACTGTAACGCTGGGTATGGCAAAAATGAGAGTTAGACAGGGGCAAGATCACTCAAGGCTTTGTATCTCATTCTATGGAACTTAGGCTTTATCAGTGGGAAGACATAGAAGAGCTTTAAGCAAACAATGTGGTCTAAATTTAATTTTAGCTGTGTGGAGGAGGATTTGGAAGGAGAAAGATAATGTTGTAATACTCCAAATGAGAAATGACCAGGTCTGAACAAGGGCACTGATGATGTTGAAATTTAAAAAAAATTTTTAGTAAACAAATTCAGGTGGAATTGGTGTTAATAAATATGTAAGGGAAGAGAGAGAGGGAAGTTAAGGATGACTCCTAGGTTTCTGGCTTGGATAACTGGGTAATGATGCCACCCATGAAATAACAACTAGAAAGGAGAAAATGTTTTGGAGAAAGGAAGAAAGGGGATGAAGACAAGTTCTTTTTTAAACATGTTGAATCATAGGGGATCAGTGGAGTATGAGGGATATAATCAGCAGGCCATTGTGCATTATCAGTCTAAAGCTGAGGAGTGAAATCTGGGCTAGAGTTTTGGCCATTGTCATACACCAAGTAAGACACGGTTCCCACTGTCACGGAGTTTGTGGGCTAATCATGAGACAGCCAGCTAGACGAAGACTACCCTGTAGTGCAGCAGGTGCTGTGGTAGGAGTCTGAGCCATAGTGCTGCAGGAGTACTTTGGGTGCCCAGCCTAGACCAGGGGACAGAGAAGATTCTTTAACTTCAGTCTACCTGAAATTATTATCTAGGTCCAATAGACTTTTTTTTCTTTGTCATTTGTAAATCATTTATTGAAGAGTAAAGGGATAATGAAAAACACTTATACTAGGCAGTTCAATAAGAATTTAAACATAATAAATATCTTTATATCAAATTTTGTTGCACAAACATCATAAAAGATGAAAGAATACCATAACACATCTTTCTTAGTAAAATGAGCTGGTATAGGTTCTTATAAATACTGCATGGTCAAGTCCTTCCTGTTGAATGACTAACTGAGAGAATGCCACTTTGTCCATAGAAATACATTGTTAATGCATAGGTTCTTGAATTTGAGAAAATCAGTGTAGGATATTGTCATCTGAAGACGCAATGTCTCAGAGTTAACGATAGACAATTAATATTACCGTCATCATTAGAGTGCTGCTATCTGTCTGCATTCATCTCTGATTCCTTTAATAATTCTGAAGTGTCCTTTTTGTTCAGTTATCTTCTCTTTTCAATTATGGACTAAAAATGAAAACTTCTGAATTCTCAAATCTATCCAACGAAAGTTAAAAACAGACTACATGTAAGAAAATAAAACTATAGACCAACATCCCTTATAAATGGAGATGTAAATATCTATAACAAACTATTAGTAAACTGAATCTAGCAATATATAAAAGAAGTTAAAAATTCCTGTCCTCCCAAAAATCTACAAAGGAAGTTCATAGCAGCTTTATTCATATTTGCCAAACTTGGAAGCGACCAGGATGTCCTTTAGTAGGTGAACAGATAAATAAACTGTGGTATATCCATAAAATAGAATATTATTCAGGGCTAAAAATAAATGAGGTATCAAACCATAAAGAGGTACAGAGGAGCCTCAAATGCATATTACTAAGTGAAAGAAGCCAATCTGAAAAGGCTACATTCTATATGACATTCTGGAAAAGGCAAAACTGAAGTCAGAAGATCATGGGTAGGAATTGGGAGAGGGATGACTAGACAGAACACAGGATTTTTAGTGGATGAAAATATTCTGTATGCTATTATAATGTTGGATACATGTCATTACACATTTCTGCAAACCTATATAATAATGTGCAACATCAAGTGAACCCTGATGTAAACTATGGGTGATGAGGTGTGTCAGTGTAGATTCATCAATTATAATAAATGTGCCACTCTAATGGGGGTTGTTGATAATAAGGGAGGCTATGCATGCATGGGAGATCTGGGAAATCTCTGTACCTTCTCAGTTTTGTTGTGAACCTTAAGTTGCTCTAAAAAAGTAAAGTCTTATTTTTTAAAATGGGCAAAAGATTAGAATAGACATTTCCTCAGAAAAGGTACACAAATGACCAATCAACACATGAAAAGAGGTTCTACAACATTAAACATTAGGGAAATAAAAATAAAAATCACAGTGAGACACTCCTTCATATCCACTAGCATGTAATTATAGCATGGCTGTAATTGCAATGACAGACAATAACAAGTGTTGGTGAGGATGTAGAGAAATTGGAGCACTGATTCATAACCAGTTAAGAATGTAAAATTGTACAGCTGCCTTTGGAAACAGTTTGGCAGTCCCTCACAATGTTAGAGACCCATTCTTAGGTATATGTAGAAGAGAATTGAAAACATATGTCCACACAAAAACTTGTACATGATTATTCATAATAGCCAAAAAGTACAAACAACCTAAATACCATCAGTTGATGGATTGATAAACCAAATGTGATATATAGATACAATGGAATATTACTAAGCTATAAAAAGAATAAAGTACTGATTCATGCTATGGCATGGGTGAGCATTATGCTAAATGAAAGAAGCCAGATACAAAAGGCCACATACTGTATTCCATTTTTATGACATGTCCAGAATAGGCAAATCCATACAGACGAAAAGTTTAATGGTTTCTAGGGGATAGGGGAGAGAGGAATAAGGAATAACCTAGCTAGTGAGCTTAGATTTTTTTTTTTTTTTTTT